GCCCCTCCCACCCGCTCCCGCGCCTCCTGCCCAGAGCCCGCTCCTGCGCCCCTCTGCGGATCACCGGCTCCCCGGCCACAGACCCGTCTCGCCCCACGCCTCTCCTTGAGGCTCCCTCACTTCTCTCGACATTTTCCTCGCCCCTCGCCCTCGTCCTCCTTCCTCCTTATCGCTCTTTGACTCAGCCTCTCCTGTTCCTTTTCTCACTCACTCCGCTTGCTTATCTCTCCGTCTGGGCCTTTCCCCCTCCACTCTGTTTTCTCTTCCCCGACACCTCAGATCTCCCTTCTCCCAGCAGGAGGCTCCTGCCTGCCCACACCCTCCAGGTTCAGGCGGTCAGTTCTTGCCCTCTCGGTCCGCCAGCATTTTTTGAGCTCCTGCTTGGTGCTGGGCACCGGGCTGGCTGCTGGAGAGTCAGAGGTGGATGTGACCCAAAACCCACCTCCAGGAGCATCATAATCTAGTGGAGGCGAAGATTATACCATTACTACTATTTAGTGAGTTCTTCCTAAGCGCCAAAGACACTGCACAGCACGTCACACCCTTATCAGCTACTATTTCTAATGATAGCTAGTACTGACTGGGGATGAGTCTGTTCTAAGCAGAATGCATACATTACCTCATTTAATTTACCCAGCAACCGCTCTCAGGTGGGTAGGTACTATTAATAATCCCACTTTACAGATACAGGCACTGAATGGGGTTAAGAGAGGTTAAGTAAGCATCGGTGTGGGGATTTGAACCAGAGTCAGAGCGCAGATATAACTGGAGGCCTGGATTTGAGTCCGAAGGCTTAATGGCTATGGAGGGCTCAGAGAGGGGACGTAACTGGTCCTTGGTGACATAGGTAATCGGTGAAGGATCCTGGATTCGAGTCCAGGTGTTGGACTCCAAGGGCCAGGACTTAACCACTCTGCCCTAAGATAAATTCCGCGCCAGGTGAGGAAACAGTGGGAGAGTGTGCTTCCTCCGGGAGCTGGGAGGAGGAAGGAATTGAGGAGGCTGTCCAGGGAGGCATCAGAGAGGAGGCAACCTCATGAGCCTAAGTTTGGGGTCTTTTCCTTCTGTTTGGGTTCTGCCTTTCATTGGCTTTCCTGTGGGAGTTTTGGAGGAGAGGCTTGTGGGTGGGATGGCTTGGACTTTGCTGGGGAGGGTACGCTGGGAGGTATCTTATAGGAGGGCTTGGGTGCTCTGGGGGCTGCCTCCGCTGGGAGGTGGGAGTGCTGGGGCATTTCCCCCCTCCACACCTGCTCTTATCCGCCCGGCCCCAGCCTCCCAGTCCTTCTGAATGTTCCCAAGCCTCTTGGCTTCCCATGGGTCTGTCCTCGCAGCGGTAGTTGAGAGAGACAAAGGACCACTCCTCTTAGTATTCACCACACACAGAGCACCTATACACAAAAGGGATACAGAAATGCAAAAGACATAGGCTCCGCTTCCTCTGATCTAGTTGTAAGAAGACATAAGGCAGAGGAGGCAGAAGAAAATGCAGCAGACGGAACCCGGGGTGGCACAGACTCTCTTTTGATGACCAGGATGACTCGGTTGGGTCCAGGTAGAACAAGCTGAGGGTATTTTCTCCCCCTATTCCCTTCCCCAATTCCCAGCACGAATAGGTTCTGTGGATGACCCTCAGGAGGTGAAGGACTGGTCCCTGCAGGGTCAGACAACACAGTGTAGTAATGGTGCAAGAGTCTGAACTGCAGACAGAAAAAGTCAGGTTCAAATCCAAGTGCATACTCACTGAATGACCTTGGGCAAGTACCTCGCCATTCGGACTCTCCATTTCCTTGTTTGTAAGCTGGGACCTCCTCAGCAGTTACATGAGAGGCAAACAAAAGGATGCATGGAAAGAAAGCCCCCTACACAGTGCCAGCACATAATAGGCACGTAGGCATGTCAGATCTCCAAGGGATGGATGTGTAATTATGGGGTTAAATGCGGGGTGTGTTCTGAAAGCTCCCCCAGACACCTTGGCCCTGGCTCTGGTTTGGGATTCTGCTCTCTGCACTCCAGGTCACTGCACTCCAGGGGAAGTGTGGCCCTGGGCACTGGGGGGAGGGTGTTGGAGCTCCCCAGGTGGTTGTACAAGGTGCAGGCTCCTTGGGCAGCTGGTCATCTTGGAGTTCCAGTGCCTGGTCTGGACTGAGGGAGGCATTGTTCCTGCTGCTGGTTTTGTAAGAATTGCAGATGGTCCGAGAGCAGAGTGAGTCTGTACCTGGCAGCTCCAGGGGCTCTGAGGGCCAGAGGGGCCAGGCTGGACTCTGCCTTGGGGACCCTTGAGGCTTCCGGACATGGAATCCATGATGAGATCCAGGAGGGAAGCTCTTCACAAGAATGGTGCCAGGTGGTGGCTGTGCCCTGGGGCGGTCACTCAGGGACGCTCTCCCTCTGAGGCCCCGCCATTTGACTATCCTGGCTGTGCAGCCGAGAAGGCAGGAGGCTGCACTGCAATGCGGCGCCCCTTCCTGATGAAGCTGTTCCGGGGCCTAGGCAGCTGGGTGAAACACCTGGCGTGTTGGGCATTTGTCCGTCTTGGAGTGTCTGCAGTCTGTCCAGGCACACATTTTCCCCAGCTGATAGAGGATATAGTTTGTTTAAAAGAATGTTTATTCATAGTCTGTTGTGAGCAAAGTCCTATATAGATAACTTGTAGATCAAACTTGGTTAATTATGTTATCAACTCCTCCAGTTTTCTACTTTTTTATTGCCTACTTCCATGGTTCTCCGAGTGTAATCAGGATTCTTCTGAGGGTCCCCAAGTCCCTTTCAGGGAGTCTACAAGGTTAAAATAGTACATAATTCCAAGATCCACTCAAAGTACAAGATAGACTGATAGGGTTTAAGTTAACAGTAAGAAAAGTTCATTGATATGGATTCAGATTCTACATTACAACCAACATTTAAGGAACTGCCACATACCATTTTTTGGGTAGTATTAAAGAAGAATATCCACAATATCTGAAAGTCTATGAAAATACTCTCCTTTCCAACCACGTTTCTGTGTGAGGCCAAATTTTCTTCATATAGTTCAACCAAAACAGTATCTAACAACATACCGAGGCAGAAGGAGATTTGAGAACCCGTTTTCTGTTAATCCACACGTGAGGGAGATTTGCAAAAATGTAAAGCAAAGCCGCTCTTCTCACTGATTTTTTTGTCTTGTAAAATGTAATTAGCTTTCACAAAATTTATGTTAGCATATAATGGGTTTATTATTGTCATTTAAAACAAATTAAGCAAATTAAAATTTTTCTCAGTTTTAATTTTAAACATGGCAATTATTGATAGGTCTAAACCCGTATAACCAAAAGCTCTTTAATCTAAAAACTTCCATAATTTTTAAGAGTGTAAAGGGGTCCTGAGACCAAAAAGTTTAAGAATTGTTGGTTTACTTATTCTGTTCACTTCTGATAGAGGTGTAGTAAATCTACTTTGATCCTGAGTTTGTTAATTTTTCCCTTTTGAATCAGTTTTATTTTGAAGTGATGTTGTAAGGAGCATAAAGTTTCATGATTATATGTTCTGGTTGGATTGTAATTTCTATCTGTATGACATAGCCTTCTTTGTTTTGTTTAAGGCTTTAGTCTTGGGAATAATAATTCTACAAACCAACATGTAACTAGAACCCGCTATGGGCAGGCATACATGTGAAAGTCTCCATCCCTGTCCGCGTGGAGAGCATGAACACCCCGAGGCAGCGTAGTGTAGCAGGAAGAGTCTGGGCTCAGAGTTGGACATACTGGTGGTGAATGGTGACCACTTCCTAGCAGTGTGTCCTTGGACATATGTCTGTTGGACTTTGAACATTACTTTCTTCATCTGTAAAATGGGGTTAATAACATTTATTTACTTGGTGATAGTGAAAACTTAGTGAGATAAGGGGTGAGAGAAGCGCCCAGCAGAGTCCTTGGTGTCTGTGAAAAGTGATACAACAGAGCCATGAGCCATGAGATCTGCCCCATTCGTGCCATGCAGAGCACCCAGGAGAGGCAGTGTGGCAGTGGGGAGTGCACCCAGCTTGGATTCAGAAGATCTGAGTTGTGTTTTCAATTTAATAGCAAGCCCCCCCGCCACCCCACCTGAGTCTCAGTTGCCTCATCATAAAATGGGAGGACCACCTCTGACTCCCATTCTCCATGAGGCTATCTGGAGAATCAAATCTAATAATGAAAAGGAAGGGGGTTGGGCTGATGATGGAGGTGAGGTTGACTTTGTCCTTGGCCTGAGGTTGGGAACCTCTTCCGTCTCC